GAGAGAGAAAGAGAGAGAAGGAGAGAGGGGGTAGTATGATAAGAAACATCATTTTTAAAGGGGCACTGGTTAAAACAAAGCAAAAAAAGGATAATGCACATATTCCTTTTCTTTTCCACAAAATCATGAGCTTATTACCTGAGAATCTCCAAATAAATGAGGGTTTCTTTCTCCAGAACAAAACAATCCTTTTCTTAATATTCAGCTTAGTAGAATTGAAGAGCCCAAGATAGCACACTCAGTGTTTTTGGGAATCTCTGCCATAGGGAATGTTTTCTTAGTGATATGTGCTTTTTAACATGTAATCATTTCTCTTTGAAAGAGAACAGTGCATTGAAAAATAGTGGAGATTGCAGATAGCCAAAAGCCACAGCCAGAAGGAGCCACACCAAAGAGGTTTTCACAGGCTATGGCTTACCTGCTTTACAACAGTTCCATTAATGACAGTGTCATTTTCATCTACTACAATAGGGGTATAACCAGTCTTCACCCATTGGATATAAGGCTCCTCATCTGAGAGTATTTTACATTCAAATGTTGCTGTGGAATTCAGCTCCACGGTCTGATTAAGAGGATAGCCCTCAGTCATATAAGGCTTATGAGGTAATCTTTCTGTGTAATTAAAATGGTATAATTCTTAAGTTAATTAAGTTTATTATGTTACAATACCAATTATAGCTTTTAGTATTTAATGTTGAAGATTTAATGATGTATCATTAAAAAGAACATCAAAAACCTAACAGCATTATCTCTAACAGGTGTGCTATGTACATTTACATTAATTTTCAAATTTAAGAGATTTTATATTACTTACCTACTACTGCAACTGTGAAAGTGAAGTTAATGCAGCCAAATTCATTGCATACAACACAAGTATAGTTGCCTGAATCAGATGTAACCAAATCTTCTAATAAGAGTGACCAACGTCCATATTTGTATTCTCCAAATTTACGCTCATGCTTTGCACCATCAAAGAGCCATGTAATATTTGGAGATGGATTACCTGTAAATTTAAATAGATTTTTTTTATTAAATCAAGAGAAATTTTTACACAATAGTTGTTTTTTGATCAATCAAGTGTGACCATACTTCACACAGAAAGTTAAACAAAATAAAATAGTAATTATTTTCATTGAAATTTATCTTGAATCATTGGGATTATGATAACAACAACAATAATAACAATAACAACATGATAGAGAACATTTGGACATTTTTTTGTCACATCTTGCTCTTTGCTGCATTGGCATATCTCATATTTTGTTTCTCTCATTAAGAACTTTCACTGGATTATTACCACATTTATTTTATCAATATTCAAAAATATAATTTACTTTTGGGAAAATCTTTGCCTAATCTGACACAACTGGCAAAACCCAAACAGTAGAAATGAAAAGAGAAAGGAAAGGCCCCTTTTGTGAGCCTCTAGGATAATATTTTCTCATCATGTGTTTCTGATAGAGTTTGTAAAATTTTATACTTTCTGCGTATACCACCCTATGAGCTTCAGTTCCCAACTCTCTCAATAGATGGAGCACAAACTCCGCTAGCCATTAGTTAAAATATCGAAATAAAAATGCGGGAAGTTGGAAATATTTATCTCAGTGATTCTCACGAGCGGAGATGTTGAGTTGGGGACAATTGTGGGTATGTTATTTGTTTAGATGGTTTATTATGCGAGTATATTGCAAAGTCACTGTATTACATTAAAGAATAGATTCTATAATTAGTGATCATTCTACCATATTTGAAGCATTTGTATGCCAAACTTTCATAATTAGAAAACAGAATATTTTCTCCCGGGCTTTTTCAAATAGATCTATTGAATTCTTCAACAATAAATAAGTGAGAAATATTGAGTAGTAAATTGTTTTAATGGATATGTTAATGCAGCCTATTCAAATTTCGTTTCTGCTCTACCATGTTTTGTTGAATGGCAAAGATGTAATAATTGATATTTACAAGACTGTCACAATATTTGGCCTATTTGGAGGATGACAACATAGTATTTTTTAATTTTTTTTTCTCTGAGTAGACAGTATACTTTTATTCTAATTTTGACATTAATCTTCTAGACGTAGATTCTACATCACAGGTTCTATCCTGGTAAGGTGAAACACGTGATAAGTAACAATAAGCAACTCCTCTCCCAACTCTGACATAAGTGGTGATTCCGATACTAACGATATAAAATTTTCCTGTTAAGTATGTATCATGTTTACCTGATCTCTGTGAATGCTATACACATGCAGCAACACTCTGGCAAAATTGCTGAGAAATAACTTTCTGATGCTGCCTCAATGTTTTTGTTTCTCTGACTCATTGTGCCCATGTATCAGGAATACCAAACAACTGCCTGATTTTTGTCCCTTGCATGACTGATACAAGCTGCTTTCGGCAACTTGTCACTCTACCTGTCAAACGATTTCTCAACGTCTGTGTTTCTCAGTTCATCCACACATGTGTGTGTCTGTGTGTGTAAATTGACAAGCATGAAACTCTCTTGGAGAACTGATGAAAAATTTGATTATTTCATTAATTGATTAAATTTTCAATTTTATTATTTGCTTTGACTTTTTTAAATATTTACATGCTACTGATCATATACTCATTAAATTATGTCAAAAAAATATTGGACTTAAAATATGTAATTATGGGCAAATATTATCTCGAATAATTTTGTTTGTATACATAAGTTCTAAATGGTCATTGGGATAAAATCTTCCCACTTCATAACTTCAAAAATAAAAATTAATTTCATTAAATGTGTTATAATCAGAACCTTCCACAGGCTATAGAAATATTAAACACAAAAATTAAATATATCAATATGTTCATGACCCAACCTTATGCTATTTAGAGCTAATTAGCAATGAAATCCTTACCAATTGCAGGGCATTTCAGACGAATCATATTTCCTGCTGGTTTTGCAATTAGTTTGTTGAACTTCTTTGTGAACTCTGGAGCTCGTGCTACTCCTGAGTCGTTAAACTGGCCTGCCTGGACAGAAACACTAATATCTTTGTCAGAATCCCCTTCACTGTCATGAGAATCTTCAGTATCAGCCATGTGTTGGGACTCTGGAGGCCAAATTACTGCAAAACAAATAAATTCTTTCTTTTTACAATTTTCTGGGTTACTAAATTAGGTTTCACACAACCAACAACATAATTAAAATAACATAAAACAATTAACTTATCTTAAAGTTAAGTTTTATTTTTTAAATTTTTTTAAAAAAAAAGGTTGTTAATATAAATGTGCCAATATTGTAAATTTATTATATTAATGGAATACTATACCTTCTGTAACTTGCAGGAATATGGCATTTCTAATTTTGCATTGAGGATTACATGTGATGCAACTGTACCATCCAGAATCTTCTATTACTACATCATCCAATATAAGGTCCCCAGTTCCGTTATCTGGGACAATCTGTAAATTACATTAAACTATTGTTTTGAAGAAATAAAAAAGTAGTTTTAGTTCACTAAACTTTTATTGAAAGATACTGACAACTTGAATTAACACTAGTTTTAACTAAAAATAATTAGCTATGAACTAAAAATAATTATACTATGTAATCAAAGTTGTTGGACCACTGACTGTTAGTTTTAATGCTTAATATTTTGTATTTTCCAAATGTTTTCAAAGAACTATTTTTTCTACGATAATTCATTTATTTAATTTCATACTTACCACTTGAAATCGATCAATGTTGGTTTCAAGAGCTGTGTTTACATTCACATGGGTGTTGAGTTTAACCCAAGTAACATTACCATCATCTTCTGGACAATGGAGGATAGTTTGGCCTCCACGTTGCACCGTCTTTTGGTCATAAGAACCTGTAATTTTTTTTACCAAACACTTATAAATATAAAAATTAAATTATAACAAACTGTTTCAATATCAATTTATTGTAAGGTTTTTAACAATGTTGTATTTTCTATTTTTGTTCAAAGCTGAAACCAAATGGTAGAAACCAAGTCCCTTTTTAACAAAATAAAATATGAAATTTGCATACATATTGTAAGAACAAGAGTCATCAACATTTTTATGTCTATTATTGAATGATATAATTTATAAGCATGTCTCTACGATATTTCTCTAGGAAAATAGTGTCATCTTTACGTATTTCATATTAAAGGACGTTTTATTAATTATTATTCTCTTCTATTTAATAAACACTACACTGCTTTATATTCATATTCATTGAATATAATTCAAAATTGTCCATAATAAATTGTGTGTTTAAATGGAACAAACAAAACTTTCAAAAAGTAAAGAAAAATTAATATTACCAGGGAGTTCATTTTCATTGCTATCTTGAATATGTGGAAAATCAACCTCTGCCCCCATTAAGTTGTCATTTTCTTCAACCCCTGAAAACAATTTTACAATTTCTTACTTCTACATTACATCCTAGTTTTAAACACATTCCAATTTATGACCCTCTAATTCTGTCTCAGAACAATATAAATTATTTTCCTTTCATATTTTTTAAATTCTTAACTTTTTTTGAAGAATACAAATGTTCATTCATATACATTTATTCATTTTTGGTTTAAGGCTTACCTCTGAGTGACTGTTCATCTCCACTGCCTCTTTCTAAAGTTGAAGCTTGTCCCTCCACTGCCAAAGTAAAATTTCGCCATCTGTCACCCGAGGGTAGAGCCAATAAACATGCATAATGACCGCTGTCAGTAGACAGTAAATGTGTCAGTTGTAACCTGCAGGATACAAATAATGATAAAATAAATAGATAGAGAATTAAATAAAATGTTATTTTACAAACAATAAATCTACATGGGTGTATACTTTCAGGTACCACAATTTAAAAAGTTTGGCAGAAAAAAACACAATTGTCTATATCCGAGATAAAATTTGTGATTTCATTCATATGAATCTTCAACAATATTTACTGCTTAATGGTATCTCTGGAATCCAAAATTTGGCAAAAACAATACAGGGAAATGTTTTTTTTCAACTTTTAACATTCTAAGTCATGTAAAAATTTATAAAAACGAATAATAAAATAAAATTAAATATGTAAATAAATAAATAACAAAAAAATCTATAAACACAAAAAAAAGGATATATTAAAGCCCTTTTGGATTTGACATCTCTTTTATGCAGACCAGCACAAAATTAACTTGGAAATATTATAGAAGAAATTTATCTAATTCAACTTTACTATATCATCAATAAGACACTTCTTTGTTAATGTTATATTATTAAAACCAACCAAAATAACTCTTCTTGAATTTTTCAACTTTTATAAATCTACCATATGCTTTCATAATTTGTAGAAGTTATTTATGTTCAATTAATTTTAATTAAATAATTCTATTAATAATAATAATAATAATAATAATAATAATAATAATAATAATAATAATAATAATGTTAAATTCAATTTAATAATTCAAAAATGAATGAATATTGAGAACACAGCTCAAATATAAGCACACCGCAGTGCTTCTGTTTTGAAACACAAAGTAAAATTTTCCGCTGGCTTTACTAGTAACATATTTATTAAAGCAATTTTAAATCCAACTAATGAGAACAGTCATAGACTCACTTCTGGCCATTAAGGACAACTCTTGGAGGTTGATGGAGCAGTTCTACTCCATTGTAGTACCAACGGCTTGGATGGTTAGAGGGTGCAATGGCAGATGCCTGGCATGACTCCAAGAACTTACTGCCAGGTGGGCGGTGCAGCACTTCTTCACTCTGAGCAGTCAGCGGCCCTGGAAAATATTTAACTCAGCATGACTTACACTCTCGATGCAAAATTTCTCAAACGTCCTGCACTTATAACTTTGTGGGACTGTTTTTCATAACTTTAATGAAATAATACCGCTATTGGTTTGAGACATTTGCAGGTAGAAGTTCATGGGATATTCATTGTACAAATTAAAACTTATTTTAGGATATATCTTAAAATAAAAAATGCATGCTTCATTCAAATTTTAAATGCTATAACAAGTTACAAAGTCATTCAAATTACCTTTACATAAATTGTTTCATTTTTCAATGAAAATAAATAAATGTGGAATGTTTAAAAATGTATTAATTATGGAAATTAATGCAGTCACTAATTGCAGTAGATTAAACAAATTTATTGTCAGAATAAAATGTCAAAGTTATTAACTACGTATATTCCAGATGCATGTTTAAAATCTATACTATAAGTTTTGAAAGTTACAAAATTCAAGTATATTATATCGCTCAAAACTCAGAATCACCTTTGACTAATGAAAACTATTTCTGATTTCCATCACCCATAGCACAATTTTCAACACAAATACCTAAGTAGCTGCAATCAATGTATTGAAATTTGTTAAAAAATTACTAGTTTCTATTATGGAAAACAACTAATTATATTCTTACATGTATTGTTTTATTATTGCTTATAAAAATTATTCTCACCTCATTTGCAAAGTAGCTTGAAACAGGAAAGAAAAAAAAATAATGATAATAAAGTAATTACATTAGCCAGGTGGCTCTGGCAACAGGTACTTTCATGTTAAGAATTTTTACTAGTGCTAATAAAATTTAATGCAAAAGTAATTTTAAACACACTAAAGTTGCCTGACGCATTTGTTTACAGAAACTGAGAGTTACAAGAAAAGTTATGCCAAGAAGGCTGCATAGAAATCCATAGTATTTCAGCACTGTAGGAAACCCCAAAATATGTTATTTTCTAAAATTTTTCCAGATTATAAAATTTTCTGATTTTTTTTTCCCAGATCCGTCTTAAAATAGAACCAATTGATTCATCTTGTCAAGAGCATTGAATGTGATCACCTTCACAGGTGGTCCCCCAAAACGATTTTTCGGCGCTTAACCCTCCCTCCCAAAATGGTTTTTTAAATAATTCATTAGAAAATTAGGTTTAATTATCGTCAATCTCATAAATCAAGTAACGATTCATTAAATGTCGGAAAGATTTTAAGTTAGTTATTCATATCGTCCAATGTATTCATGGTAGGTGCATTGAAATCATCCAAATTACATGTTTTTCTAGCATTCTTAAAAAATCGCTAAGTGGCTAAGAATTGTGCCAATCGATTTATATTGATGAGAGGAACCGAAAGATCAATTGACCGCGGTTGTAGGTACTGCAAGTCACACAAAATGCTTTTCAGTTGCGTACAAAAACACGCTCTTTAGAGAAATTTTCTAAAATCGTCTGGAGGGTTCCGCAAAATCAGATCCCCCCACCAGGAGACTGAGACAGTTGTCTCGATTGAGGGACTGGAAGGGATCTAAAAGAGATGCACGTTACTCGATTACTACACAAAAAGCAAAAGGCGCACGCACGAGCGCGCGCGTATGTGTGTGTTTAAGAGAGAGAGCACGCAAATTATCCTGAGTTGAATAAATCTGAAAGCATTTTGAATGTGTAAAATTACAAACTTAATTTTTTATTACACTCAATTGTACAGGCATTTTATTGGAAGTTTGAGAGATCCAAAAATATTGTCACTTAAAGCTCAGCCAATTTCATATTGTTCATTTAGAGAGTTTTGCAATTGGTTATATGAAATACAAAACGACGTTGATACAATATTTTCTTTGCTTATTATTAACTTGAAGATGCCCACAAATTGAATCTTGCGGAACCTCTGTTACTTTTGTATTAATGATAATTGCTTTACTTCCAAACTGCTTACTAATCGTAGTCGTGACGGTTTTTCAGTAAAGAAATCAAGATAATGCATTGCGGTAATGAACAAATTAAACAAATAAATGAAGTGTACATGAAAATAGTTTAAAGTTTCAGAGCACAATAACATATCCTTCATTTAATTAATAACCGAAATAAATTTAATGTTTAATAAATACGAGTAGATTACTTTGCGCACCACGTCATGGATTCCGAACCAGATTTTTGTTTCCCACTCTGAACTGTTAATCTTATGGAAATAAAACAATCTGCTGTATAGCTTTTCAAATTCTGAATTCGCACCTAACCTCCTTGTCAGAAATTGCAGAATTTAATTGCAGGTCGTCAAGCAAATGAGGAACCTCAAAAGGCTTTAGTGTTACACGGAGGAGTGTTCTTGGAGGAACACATGTTGATTATTTACAGACAATACTATGATATTTTATTTTACTTTAAAGTGGGAGGGGTTTATACTAATATTGTCCCTGGTAACAAATTCTTTTAACATCTTGCTCAACCACTACAAACAAACAAAACGAGAGGGCACCTGAATGCTTGAAAAACAATTTTTTCTGTGATATCCGAACAAATATTAATGAACGTTATTACTAAAAATTGCATATTTTTACTCACCAAAAACATCAACTCTGTATGTAAAATTGATACAGCCAAGTTCATTGCATACGACGCAGGTGTAATTGCCAGTGTCGGGGACCATTGCGTCCTCAATCTCGAGAGACCAACGACCATATTTAACTGAAGGTTTCTCCACCTTTTTACCATTAAACAACCACGTAATATTCAATGACGGATGACCTAAGAAAGATACATTTTTAAATGAAACACATCCACTGCAAATTCTTTTTTCGTTATCTCATTGGGAGAAAGAACTACCTTCACTCATGTAATACAGAGAAAAAAATGGAGGTTCATTTAAAAAAATACAACTTACCAATTGCAGGACATTTTAGCCGAATCACGTTCCCAACTGACTTGACGACTCGACTGTCGAAATGTTTGGAAAATTCAGGTTTCGAGAAGGTATTAAAGTTTTCCTTTTCAGTTTGTACAGATGCCGCTGAATTTTTCCTCCCGTCAGTCGCCAATTCTTGTGATGTGTGTAGGGGTGAAAGGGAAGATTCTGTAACAAAAGAGAGCAAAGTGTAGTGAAATACCACATTCGGAATCAACGGGTTGCAGGTCTGGGCGCCAAGGTAATGCGAACACCATTTGAGCAAAAATTAAGAAAATTACTTAGATTAACGGAAACAAATGTCGCCCATCTAAGACTATTTTTAAAGAAAAGTAATACTTGCCGATGCAGTCTTAAGGCACGGGGTATTTATGTATCAAGAATTTCAAACGGATGCATTTCGGAACAGCGATTTACCGCACGAACCAGAATATAATGAAGCGAAGAAACAATACCACGATTTTTTTTTTTTTCGAAAATATGAAATCTGCAAAACACGGATCCATTCTATGCGAGCTCATTAATTCGTAACGTTTATTTACATTCCATTGTATTCGCACTATTTACGTGCATGATGGGAGGAAGATACTTTTTATAGCAGTAAGGTGAGGAAATTGAAGTGTAGTGTGGAGTGTTGATAAGAAAATTAGGCATTAAAAGGAATGAAAGAAACTTTGAAGTTTTCAAAATGTCGATTTGGCGCAGAAAGGAGAAAATCAGCTGAACAGGCAGAGTAAAGAATAAGAAAGAGTTGAGGCGAGAGGAAAGTGTGGAAAGAGTGTTGAGAGGAGAAAGATGCAAATGGCAAAGAACAGTAAGAAAAGTTGGATAGGACCCAATTTTCTACGACTAAGTTGTCTACTAGAAGAGGTTATCTAAGTTTTTATTCCAGGAAGAAGAAAATATTAGATGCCTGACGACTTATGTTGCATGGGAGGATAGCAAGGAAAAGTCTTTTTTTCGAGGTTATCTGATGAAGGGAAGTGATACATCCAGAACCAACAAATAAAAATGTTCTCTTAGGTGAAAATTCAAATTACCTTGCAATTAAATTTAAATAATTTGCTATGAAAAAATAGCATTAACTTAATTTATTATTAAGTTTAATTATAAGAATGAGAAATGTGACAATAAATAAAGTAAATTTAGTTTGAAGAAGTTCTATGTTACGCCATTAAACACACAGGATAGCACATCTGTTCTAAAAGATGACTAAAACAACTAAAAACATTTCAGATATTTACTTACTAAATGGTAAACTCTATTCGCGGTCGTAATGATTAATGCTTTCGACAATTTGAGGTATTGTTTTTTTTATATTTTAAATATTTTCTTCAAATTTGCCTGAGAAACGAAATTTGTCGCATCCTTCCTCCATTCGGGAGATTTATTTTCTGAATGAAAGCGTGAGGGGAAAGAGGAAGACTGAATGACATGGAGGACAGTAAGTTTTGGAACCTGTAGAAAGCACTCCACATTTACATGGACAATTGGCAAGACTATTTCAATAATTGATTGTAGACCAATAGCATTAGACATTAACCAATCCATTCACCATGGAGATTATCAGTTTGGAATTAACACTTTCGACATACACCTCCTCCTGATGTGATATTGAGAATAAAGTCGCAGTAAATTCGTTCTTTTGGATCGCCTAGTATTATGTCGTCCGATATTTGAATTTATGGTGTTTTATTACAGGCAAAATATTAAAAAAAAAGATTTGACATGAGTCAGCCTGAACGCAAATGACTGAAATTGTGTTACAAGACCAACAAATAACCAAATTGCAGGACATGCCAATGAAATATGAAGCCATATTTGCAAGGAAGGGTTGCGAGAAGAACATAATTCGTAAATATGAAATACATTTGGATGTTGTCCTGTAACGCCATCAACCTCAACAATTACAAAGTGCGTAGCTAATGAAGTTCCATCGAGTAATAGTTTGCAGTATTTTATAACTATGTCATGAAGTAACGATATAGAACAAATTTGTTACGTATAATGTGATCTCTTGTTTCTCCATCTGCACGATATCAGTATTACAGCTCGTATTTATCATTTATTGACATTTTATGATAAATTAAATACACAATATTAATTTGAATTAATTAGTTGATTTCATTTGTGAAATAGAGTTTGTAAATGCCATTTGTGCTTTTAAATTTGGTGTGGCATTGTCTATGTTCATTTTGTCATCACCAACGCTGATTTAAACTGAATGTATCGCAACGCAGCTTACCTGGATGCGTCCTCTCGTCGACGCCATCTTCGACGGATGTCGCGCACGTGCGCTCGACCACCAAGGTGAAGTTATTCCAGACGTCGCCAGAGGGCAGCGCGAACAGACAGGCGTAGTGGCCGCTGTCGGACCTCTTCAGAGACTTCATCACTAACCTGCCAGCGAAGAACGGGCCATAACATGAATTATCGAAAATCAATATTTGCCATTAGTTATCACTGCAGTAATTAAGAGGATACTGATTTTAAAGAAATGGAAGGTTCAGCGTTTGTGTCAATGAGCGATTTCCCTTTTAAAACAATGGAAATATTAATTGATTTAAATTTACTACAAAGAGCGAAGCGTTTTCGTTAAGAATTATAAAAGTAAAAATAATATTTAGTTTAATTTTTTCGCGTGTTTACCAAATAGTCAAATCCCGACTTTACAATAAAAACAGAGTTGTTTTCTTACAAGTCTAAGAAATATTTGATCGCTTTTGGCGTAATTTTGGGAGAGTCTTCTGGGAGCTCTTGTTCCTTCTCTGCAGTCACTTCAGGTGTTTTTCTTTTGACATTCTGGCTACAGCCATAAACATTTAAAAAATGTTTAATACAAAATAATGTAATCATGGGCGTCATTATTTTAAATTGAGAAGGGGAAGATAAAAAAGAGATTAGTTACCTGAAATTTTAGCTTAAGCCAAGGCAACGTTTTTGGATTTATTGACTGTAACAACGTGCATCGCAGATTAAAAATATCACGTTATGTCGAACCTATCCACGAATTCAGTATTGTACTCTCACAACAAACTCAAAACGACGGCTCCCGCGGAGACAATGGTGGCGAAAGCGGCGGCAATTAGAGCAGTAGTGGGTGGGTGGAACGTGTTTATTGGTCTTCAATCGACTTGAGCGGGGTAGCCTTACATCAACCTACCAGTTCGAAATATCTTCAAAATATTCCTTTCCCATGCGTGTTTTACTTTCTGACATATGACGTCGTTTGGTACAGCCTTGAAAGCGTTTGTTTTGATTTTTGTAAACAAATTCTAATTGTTGTTGAAGAAGTTAAAATAATTATAATAATGATAAACATTTTTTTTCAAATGTGCTTCGAAGTTAAATATTAATGACTGATGACCAACTGAGTGTATTAATGACACATATAGACAATATTTCTCTAGTGTAAATTGTAATATAATTGTATATACGTATTGTAAATAAGTAATGCGAATGTAAATCTACAATGATGCCGCTGATGACCATTGTAGTTAAAAAGCGAATAAAATAATTTGAAAAAAGCTAAATATTGAAAATATTCAGAATTCCATGCATCATGAATTTTAAGCAACGAAAAAGTTTTAACATTGTTATCAAAAAATCAATTCTTGTGAGATAATAAACAAAACAAAACAATTTTGTTTCAGTTGCTTAAAATTCTTGGATTAATTACGACCATAGTTTATTGTAACAATCTTCGTGTTTCTTTTTCTTTTTTTTCATTTTTATCCCTTAATTTCTTTCAGTAGTTTATATGACATTCAATCAAATTCTTCCCGTTTATTTGTGTCTGTTGTGTCCAGAACTCGCCCTTCCTTCCCGTTCCTCCTTTCTTCCTTGGAATGCGTGTAGAGCGGGCGTGCCGCTTCCGCGTGCCGAGGCGTGCGCGTACGGCCGCCCCAGTTGAATAACGCATCGCGCGCGCGCCCGCCATCTTGCGGCGCGGGGGTGCCCGCTTCCGCCTCGAGCGGAAGGCCGCCTCCGCCCCTCCCCCTCCCGCCACGCCCCTCAGGCACGCACGGCGCAGACGACGTCAGCGCCAAACCGCTCAGGATGGGAAAATCATCCCGCTTCATGGTGGCCGATCAGTCAGGATAATTTAATTGTCATGAAGGGTAAACGAATTCATATTTTCTCTCTCTATTAATTATTTGTTACTGATGGGGTGTCCGTCATGTACAAAATAGAATTACATTAGTTTGCCAACGTTTTGGATTATGGTACCTTCAGAAAATTACAGAACAAAATTACAAAAAAGGTAACACAAAGAAGAAAAATACGTTTCTATAACAATAAATACGTTATGCTCACATGACGTGCGTTTTGTTTTATAGTAAGGTGTGCTTTTTACTTTTTTCTTCTTCACATACTTGTAACGCAAGCGTTTTTAATGTGTTACAATAATATAAAATTTTGAACGAAATCAAATAACAGTATAACAAGGTACATTGTTTATTTTTTGCCTTAATTTTTCGACACATTAAAGAAGCACTTCATTGCATAATTTATGCACGACGAATGGAGGGTTAGAATTGAATGGGGAGAGATTGCGTCGAGTGAAGTTGTTGAGTGGAAGGTTGGTGTTGAGGTGAGGGTAGAGACAATGGGAGGACGGGTGTTTGGGCGGATGTTGAGCGGCGAACGGCTGAATGGAGAGCGGGTTCTAGACCTGTAGATGTGTTGTACGAGTATATAGTGTAGGAGGTGAGGATGGGTGTTCATTGAAGAATGTTGAATGGAGAACGCTTGTTGTGATAAAAGAGAGTTCTTGGTCTAGAGAGCAGGTGTTGAGATGAGGAAGGGTAATCAGTGAAATGAATGACGGGTGAGATCAGGATGGGTGTTCAGTGAAGTTAATGACGAGTATTGAGAATGAGGATGGGTATTCAGGAAGTGAATGACGGGTGAGATGGGGATGGGTGTTCAGATGAGGATGGATATTCAGTGAAATGAATTATGTGTGTTGAGATGAGGATGGATATCGAAGCGGAGGCGGTGTTGAGATGAGGATGGATATTCAATGAAATTAATAATGTGTGTTAGGATGAGGATGAATAATCAGTGAAGCAGAAGCGAGTGTTGAGATGAGGACGGATAATCAGTGAAATGAATGGTGTTGAGATGAGGATGGGTATTCAGTGAAGTGAAGGACGGGTGTTGAGATGAGGACAGGTATTCAGAGAAATAAATTACGGGTATTGAGATGAGGATGGGTATACAGTGTTGAGCGGAGAGCAGGCTCTAGTGTTGAGTGGTTGAGTGGTGGGAGAGCTGGGAAGGCGAGCGAGAAGAGCGGCCGTTGACAAAGCGAAGGAAGCACGTAGTGCGCGCGAGCGTTGCAGGCGTGGCGTCCGGCCGAGGACTACCAGTGGCCGTCGAAGCGCTGGCGCGGGGGCGCGGGGCCGGAGCCGAGGCGCCGCCGTCGCGAACCAGTGGGCGAGTGGGGCAGCGGCGCCGGAGCGGGCGCGGCGGCGTTGGCAGTGGCGGCGTGGAGGCAGGGCTCACGCCACTGCCCCCGCGCACCGGACCAGCGCGCCGTTCCGGTGTGGGCTCCGTAAGTGGACGCTGCTGAAACAAACAGAGAGAAGCTGCACGTCCAAGCAGTTCCACACCTTACACAGGTTATTCGATAACGCTGGGCAAATCATTAATTACAGGATTTTGCTAACGTGGGAGCTCATTAATGCGCCCTCTTTTAAATACCCCAATTCTCAGCCTCCTCTACTTCCGAAACTTCATCTTACAGAAGAGGACATAGAGCGAAACGGTAACACTACCAAACAGAACGACGGAGAGGAACTGGTAGTGTAGTAGTGACGTACAGGTGCCGCACAGGGCGTCATCACGATATGTTATAAGATTATAGTATGGTAGGTGGGTTGTTGCCTCAGCTTTGGCAGGTAGAAAGTTGTGTCGGCGAGACCTTTGTATTCTCAAGGCGATCGATGCACGTTTTATACGTGCGTAGTGATGTATGTGTGTGGCGTAAAGATAATCATATAATGATTTAGATGTTGATGAGTAATAATTATGAGGTGTTCTGTGTAGAGTAGTTAGTTTGGTATAATTTATTATAATATATATATGTATATATAAATAATATATATATATATATATATATATTATATAGATATATTTATAGCAGATCAGTGGTTGTAGTATAACTCTAGTCTCGAACAGTGCGAATTAGGAGGAGTAGTGTTGAAGAGCATACGCTGCGACATACAAATTACAAAACTACTTCCATTTTAGAATGATTTTTTTAACATTTTCTCACACACAGTGGTCACTGATTGTCTCATAAAAACTACGCTATAGAAAGAAATCTCGTTAGGATGTTGCATGTTTTTTCTGCACGTAATTCTCTTATTGTTTGAAGGGTTGAGGCATTTTAAATCACATTTTTGATTTGATTATATAATATTGATTTCGTAATTCAAGTATTCAAAACTATGAGGCAGAAGATTGTTTTTCCCAATACTCCCCTCCAGGCAAAGACGTTTGAAAATATTCTCACGAGTGCGGATTCGCGGATTTTCACGGCCAGAGAGAGCTGGCAATTAGTTGAGTCGAA